AATTCCAGACTTCAAATTGTATTACAAAGCTATATTCATCAAGACAGTATGGCATTCTCAGACAAACAAACCCACAGATTAGTGGAACAGAATACAGAACCCAGAAATGGATCCACACATCTATGGCCAACTAATCTTCGACAAAGCAGGGAAGTATATCCAATGGAAAATGACAGTCTTTTCAGTAAATGGTGCTGCGAAAACTGGACAGCAGCATGCAGAAGAATGAAACTGGACCATGTTCTCACACCATAGGAACAAATAAATTTAAAATTGATGAAAGACCTAAATGTGAGTCAGAACACCATCAAAATCCTAGAGGAGAACACAGGCAGAAACCTCTTTGACCTTGGCTATAGCAACTTCTTACTAAACATGTCTCTGAAGGTAAGGGAAATAAAACCAAAATGACTATTAGGACCTCATCACGATATAAAGCTTCTGCACAGTAAAGGAAACAACCAACAAAGAAAAAAAAACAACCAAAAAACCAACCACCGCTGGAATGGAAGACGATATTTGGACATGATATATGGAATAAAGGGTTCTTATCTATAATCCATAAAGAAATTATCAGGTTCAAACAAGATACAAATAATCCAGTGAGGAAATGGACAGAAGACACAAAGAGACACTTTTGCAAAGAAGGCTTCCAGATAGCTAACAGACACAGGAAACGGTGCTCAACACCATTCATCATCAGGGAAAGATGAATCAATACCACAATAAGATATCACCTCACACCTGGTGACGAAAACTAACAACCCCAGAAACAACATGTGTTGGTAAGGACACGGTTAAAGGGGAATCTTTTTGCCCAGCTGGTGGAATGAAAACTGGGGCCGACCCTCTGGAAAGTAGCATGGAGGATCCTGAACAGATTAAAAATAATATTATTGCATGACCCAGCGTTTGCACTATTAGGTATTTATCCAAAGGATACAAATATGCTGATTTGAAGGGGCACATGCACTGCAATGTTTATAGCAGCTCTATCAAGAATAGTTGAATGTTGGAAAAAGCCCAAATGTCCGTCAGTTGATGAACAGACAAGGAAGAAGTGGTATGCATATACAATGGAATATTACTTGGCAATCAAAAAGAATGAAATTCTGCCCATTGCAACAATGTGTGTGGCCCTAGAGTGTGTTATGCTAAGTGTAATAAGTCAGTCAGCGAAGGACAAGTATTATTGTTTTCACCCATATATAGATGTAAGAAATAAAGCAGATGAACATAAGTGAAAACAGAGAGAGAGGCAAACCATGAAAGACTCTTGAGTATACAGAACAAGTGGAGGGTTGCTGAAGTTGTGGTGGGTGGAGGGATAAGCTAATAGGGCGTTGGACATTAAAGACGACACTTCTTGAGATGAGTAATGAGTGTCATATATAAGTGAAGAATCACTGTGTTTTAGTCCTGAAACCGATACCACATAGTATGAAAAGTAACTTGAATTTATTTTATTTATTTGGTAAGTATATTCAGCTATTTTGAGAGTGAGTGAGCAGGGGAGGGGAAGAGAGAGACAGAGAGACAGAGACAGAGAGAGAGAGAGAGACAGAGAATGAATCCCAAGCAGGCTCCATGCTGTCAACGTGGAGCCCAGTTGGGTCCTCAAAGTCACGAACCCTGAGATCATGATTTGAGCCAAAATTCAGAATCAGAGGCTTAACCAACTGAGCTACTGAGCCACCCCACCTAACTTGAATTTAAATAAAAGGAAAAAAAGGAAACAAGGCCAAAAATATCTCCCAAAAGATATGTGCACCCCAAGTGTTTATTGCAGCGACAGGAGCATTATTTACTGTAACTACCAAATGGAAGCAAACCAGTGTCCATCAATAGATGAATGGAGAAAGAAGGTGTAGTATATATATACAATGGAATATTATACAGCCATAAACATGTAGGAGTTGTTTTCTATCCTCATCATTGCCTAAGTATTTATCTTGTTGAACATTGTGTGTGAAGCTAATGGAAGTAGAGAACCGATCGTTTCATAAGGATACAGACAGTGATATTTCGTATATATTAACAGTATATTTGTTTTCTTACTGTTTTACAACTTTACATTCAAATACTTACATTACAGCACTAAATAATACTTAGTTTTGAATTGGAGAAACTACATTTCAGCCTAACATCATAAGTAGTTCTGTTGTTTTAAATTTATTTTTGACAAGTGGTTTGAAGAAAATGTAACAGTATTTACTTATTAATTTTTTTTAATGTTTTATTTATTTCTGAGTGAGAGAGAGACAGCATGAGCAGGGGAGGGTCAGAGAGGGAGGGAGACACAGAATCTGAAACAGGCTCCATGCTCTGAGCTGACTGTCAGCACAGGACCCAACGTGGGGCTCGAACCCATGAACCGTGAGATCATAACCTGAGCCGAAGTCGGAAGCCCAACGACAGAGCCACCCATGCGCCCCTGTGACAGTATTTCTAATACTGCATTATGACTATGACTATGACTGTATTACTATATGCCATCAACAATTTTATAATGAGCCACTCATTAGTGTATTGGCTAGTCTACATTGAAGCAACTGTATTGATTGTACTAGGCTACCATCAAGCAATTCCATTACAGCTTCTTCCTTATCAGTGCATGAGTCATGATAGCTATCAATAAATATGAATTTCTGGGGTGACTGGGTTGCTCAGTCAGTTAAGGATCAGAGTCTGGGGCCAGCTGCAGAGTCTGTGTCTGCCTCTATCTCTGCCCTCCCCTGCCCATGCTTGCTGGCTAGTTCTCTGTCTCTCAGAAATAAACAAACATCAAAGAAAAAATTTTTTAAAGAGGGCATTCTATTTGGAAAACTATTTGGCATTGACCTAGGAAAATAAACTTTCTTACTGAAGGGCAGCAGTTTGTCACCTCAAATTATGTCTCTTTGCATGAGGATTATTTTAATCTGACAAAGAAAAAGCTCTGAAACCCAGGACATTTCCTTTGTAAGAGACATTTGCATGTACAAGGGAATGTTCCATTTGGAGGGTGTGTAAATCTCCAGAAAATCTGATCAATGGAGACACCATGGATTTTCATCTGAGCAACAAACTGAGACTTGGTTCCTGTGCTTTGCCTGATCACCTCCCCAAATGCTTCCCAACAGGATCACCTGTGGAGTTTCAAGAAGGTTCCTTGCTGCTGCCCTGCCCCTCAGCTTCCCTGAGGTGGGTGGAGGGAAACAACAGTGGTGTTTTAGTGAGGTGTTCCCCGGGATTCTGGTGCAGGGCCGTTTACCTCAACACCAGGGATTACTGGTCTCCTGCTTCAAAGTATGAAGAGTGGACACAAAATGAGCAACAGACAAAAGTTGATTCGAGTAAAGGCGAGGGAGAATCCTAGGAAAGCTCTCAGTAAAGGGAGGGGGCATTGCAGGGTGAAAACCCAAGACAATAGGCAAGACCCTTGGTTTTATTGTTGTGGAAATCTGGTCTGGATCGCTGGGGGAAGAACTAAGCCCCTCTAGGAGATCTTGGAAGGGAGGAGGTTATTTTACACCTGTGGGCTCAGAGATCATTCTCCAGAGGACTGAGCTGGGAACAAAGGCGGTCATTTGCTTATAAAGTTAAAAGAAGCCCACTCATAAGGGCAGTGGCGTTTAAAGCTGATTGGATGTTTAGGGGTAGGTGACTTGGGGTCATGGCTATGCACAGGTAAGGAAAGGAAGTGTGAGTGGGGAGCACGCAGCCTGGGCAGTTTGCCATTATGACCTCTATGACCTCAAGGAGTTTTCCTTTATTTTCTCCATCAGGATGAGGGTCAGGTCTCTCCCACCGTCGTTCCCTTCCCCCCTGTTCCTTCTTAGGTCCGACACTTACTGGCTTCATGACTGTAGGTGCTGGTTTTCCACGGCTGATTGTCTTCATTTCCATTGTATGAGGGGTGGTCTAAGGCCATACAGTTCCTTGTGGGTTGTTTTTTTAATGTTTATTATTTTTGAGAGAGAAGGAGATAGAGAGCAAGAAGAGAGGGGCAGAGAGAGAGGGAGACACAGAGCTGGAAGGAGGCTCCAGTTCAGAGCTACCTGCACAGAGCCCGATGCGGGGCTCGAACTCACAGACTGGAGATCATGACCTGAGCTGGAGTAAGCGACTGAGCCACTCAGGGCCTCCAGTTCCTTGTGGGTCTTATGTTTTAGGGTCTACTACTAATTTGTAGTTAGGTCATTAGTCAAATTCCTTGGGGGAACCTGAGGGGCAGTAGGTGGTGACTGTCACATTCTTAAGTGAAACCTTACACCTGAGGGGGTTTTGCTGGGATCAGACACTCCCAGCATTGTTCCAAAATGTGTTTTCTCCCCCACCCAGAGACCTCAGGTCCTAATCTTTCCCTTTCTGCCTACTGAATCCTATGGTTTTGTATCCCAATTCTAAGTGAGTCCCAGGGTTAGGCAGGAAGGCTTCCCATTAATTTATGAGCGTTGAGAGGTGCCGGGGTGGCTCAGTCGTTTAACCATCTGACATCAGCTCAGGTCATCATCTTAGCGTTTGTGGGTTTGAGCGCCCCTTTGGGCTCTGTGTTGCCAGCTGGGAGCCTGGAGCCCCCTTCAGAATCTATGACTGCCTCTCTGCCCCTCCCCCAACCATGCTCTCTCAAAAAGTAAATAAAAATAAAATTTTTTTAAAAGAATTATGATGTCTGGTACAGGCTTTCCTCAGGGAGAGGTAACAGGTCTCCAGTTAAGGAGTCGGGGAGAGTCAGGTCCAAGTGCACACGTTTTCTAGGCTCAAGCAGAATTTGTGGGCCTCTGCAGGAAGGGAGGCTCTTTAAACCAGAGAAGGGAAACTCAGGGATTGGTTCCCAAGCAGGAGCTCACAGTTTTTGAACAGCTCCTGACACAAAGGACTAGGAAGTTGGGCCTTCTCTGCATTTCAAAGCCCTGCCTGCAGGCAAGCAATTTACTGGGGAAGAGGCTGTGTTGGTGGCTTCACAGCCATTTTCTCCTACTTCAACTGGAATTTCTCAACAAAGATCTTCTGAGAAGGAAATCTAGACCAGAAGGTGAAAGAAGAAATGGCAAGTTCTCAGGTAAGCCTTGTGGGCCTGGCTGGAGGCCCTGTTGTTTTTTTCTGGGGAAATTCCATGCACGTAGGAATCGCGGGGCACCTGGGTGACTCAGCCAGTTGAACATCAGACTTTTAATTTGAGTTTAGGCGATGATCATGGGGACCTGTGTTCCAGCCTTGAGTGGGGGTTAAGATTCTCCCTCCCTTCTTCTGTCCCTCTTCCCTCAGTCTGCATTCTCTTCTCCTTCTCTCTACTTATCTCTCTCTCTCTCCCTCTCTCTCTCTCTCTAAAAGTGTGGTCGTGTCTCCTCACTGAGGATAGAAAACACTAAGACAACCTGGCTATATGAGTACCTGACAACGTCCCTCTTGAACTTGTAATAAGAGACACTTGGTGCAACAGCATGTTTGTGTGTTACCGTATATGGGAGACACAGAAGTAAAACATATATAAAAACTATGCCATGTGGTGTTCAGGGCTCAGTTTTTTGGGTACAATCGGTAAGGTTTTGGAGTGAAAAAGGACTCCAAGGCAAAAGGTTCCGCAGAAGGAGTTTTATTGCCTGCACCCTCAGCCAAGGCCAAGGCGAGAGAATTTACGGGGACAATTTTATAGTCTGTGTCCCCGGGCAAGGTTCCGCGACCCCGGAAAGAGGGGAATTGGGGAAGTCGCGGCCTGGTTGGGTGGTGGTGGGGGTTTTATAGCCTGTTAGTGGGGGTTCAGATAACAGGGGCAGTCTCTTGACTGGAAATGTCCAGGGTTGGAAAGTTTATATTTCTGTTTACCACCGATGTAGTAATGGCCACTGATGTAGTGGCGGGAAGGTCAGCCATCCAATAACATATTTGTAAAAAAAAATTATTAAAAAGACATTACACATCTAAAAAAAAAAAAGAAGGTCAGCCATCCTAAGAAGGTCTGCCATTCTGTGGTATCTCTGCCCCGCCTCTCAGCCAGCCCAACACAATGCCAACTGAATTATGCCAGCAGCATTGAATTTCTTTCCTGGAGAGAAAAGTCTGGGTGTGAGAATCCCACTACAACAGAAATTTCAAAAAAGAAGCCAATTACTTTTTTTAGTTCTGATGGTTCTCCTTTATGTTTTCACCTAGTTTTTACGTTCTCAGAAATGATACTCAAGGTAGGTGGTTAGAACCCTCCTCCCTTGTGTCCCAAAGACTCCTGTCCCTTCTCTCCAAGCTGCCTTCCAGCAGGGCATCGACAGGTGTCACTTTGAAATAAATTCCTGCAAGTATTGAAAATAGTCCCTTTGTGACAGATTCAGACGGGAGGGTGTTGAGTCCAAGGTTCCTGTTGCTGATGGGGTCTGGCCCTGGGGTTGCACTCAAGGAAAATCGTTCCGACTTAGTTCTGATCTCAATGCTTTCTCCGCTCTGGGTAGAATAGGATTCTGAAAATGCAAAACACGTAGGATGGATAGGAGGCATAGAATAACCTGGAATGTTCCTTTTCGTTAGGATGTGGAAAAGCTACTTGAGAATATTGTAGATATTACAAGACTTGGAAACTATATGTGACTGAAGGCTGAATAAATCCACTTTATCCTCAAAGTTGTTTCTATTCTGACTTGCTGTTTGGGGGTCACAAGAACACACCGGTGGTCCTGTGTCCTAGGGTGTGCCTCAGGCACTGAGATCGCTTTGTTTCCATAGAGCTGACGTTATCTTCTTTTACTTGGCTTTGTGCCCTTGCCAGATTTCTCCCCTGGAATGTTCATATTTTCCTTCTTATCCGTTGAAATGTTTTTCAGGCAGATTCCCTGATTGATTTCCAGACACCACCATATTTAAAGTGGAAACTTCTTTCTCCCAGTTTCACTTTCCCTGTAGTTTTTTTCCCCAAGTTTACTTATTTTGAGAGAGTCAGAGAGAGCGAGAGCAGTGGAGTTGTAGAGAGAGCGCATGAATCCCAAGCAGGCTCGCCAGGGTCAGGGCAGAGCCTGACTCGTGTCTCAAACTCAAAAAATCATGAGACCTTGACGTTAGCTGAAATTAAGAATCAGATGCTTAACTGACTGAGCATCTACATGCCCCCTTTTCTGTTGTTTCTGGTGAGGAGAACAAAGGCCAAAGAAATGTAGATAAACTTAAATTTTCTTACAACTTGCAACCCACTGGGAAATACTGGAGACTGGCAGAGGAAGGTAGTCCTCATGGAATTTACAACTGCTTTAATGTCACTGCTTTTCTATAGGCAAAAAGCAAGCCTAGGTTGACAATAGTCAGACTTCCAGGATCCAGTGAGTTTCTTTTACCTATGAAAAGTCCATTGGAAACTTATATTTCTACCCACCGTACTTAACATATATAATCCCTGGCTCCTCGGAATTACCCTGCAGCTTATTCTTTCCACAGACCCTGTCTCTGTGCTTTAATCATCTCAGCCTCATTCACCCACCAAAAAGGTCTCAGGAATACTGTCTTGAGCATTTATTTATTTCTGGGCCACCTCAGGTCAGTTTCCATGGGGCAATGAAAGCTCTCACTTTTGTGTAGTAGATCTAATGACTTCTGGGATAGAAGTTCTAAATCAGACTTCCAGCCCTTCGGTTTTTAGGTCATTGCATAGTCATGGCACAGACATACTCTTCTATGTACTTCTTTGTGTTTTCCTAAAACGAAGAATTACACTTCTGAATTTTCAAGTGAAAATTCACTTCTTTGAACACCTTAAAATCCCCAAGTACCATAGGGCACAAATGATGATTGAAACAAGAGCTTTCAATGAGGGGCTCCTGTGTGGCTCAGACAGTTAAGTTTCCACTCTTGATTTCGGTGCAGTTCATGATCTCTGAGTTCATGAGCTAGAGACCCATGTCAGGCTGCAGCTGACAATGGCAGCCCTCTTGGGATCCTCTCTCTCTCTCCGTTCCTGTCACGAACTGCTCTCTTTCTTTTTCAAAATAAACAAACATGAAAAACAAAGGCCTTCAATGTGTCTGGGTGGATCAGTTGGTTAACTGTCTGACTCAACTCAGGTTATGATTTCACGGTTCATTAGTTCGAGTCCCACATCTCTCTCTCATGCCCCTCACGGGATTTTTCTCTCTCTCTCCCTTCGTCTCCATCAATTGTACCCTCTCAATAAAAAAAAAAAATAATAAAAATCTAAAAAAATAATAAAATGAAAGATATCCAAGAAATATTATGTTACGGGATCATTAAGTACTATGGTCAAGATACTATTCTTGAGTTACTGTATGATACAAGACAGGTAATTTATTGACATAGCAGAGGGACAGGACCCGTGGACAGAAAGCACTCTACTTTAGCTGCAGGTCATGTATGTTCATGATGGACGGTAGATGCACTGAGTATTCAATCACAAATCTTTTGAAATTTGTACTTGTTATTTTTTAATAATTTTTGAAAAAAAAATTTTAAAATAATTTCTTCTTTTCTGAGAGAGAGAGAGACAGCATGAGCAGGGGATGGTCAGAGGGAGAGGGAGACACAGAATCTGAAGCAGGCCCAAGAATCTGAGCTGTCAGCACAGAGACCGACTCAGGACTCAAACACTGAACCATGAGATCATGACCTGAGCCGAAGTTGGATGCTTAACGGACTGAGCCACCAAGACGCCCCTGAAATTTCTACTTCTAAAACTACTTCTCCAGGATTTTTCTCGTGCTTATCTCTCATTTCAATTTTAACAATTGGTGAGACATAACAGCACTCATAAGACACTTTTAAAAATGCAACATCCAGGGGCACCTGGGTGGCTCAGTCACAGCCTGGAGCCTGCTGGGGATTCTTACCGTCTCTTTGCCTCTCTCCCTTCTACACCATGCTTGGCCATTCTCTCTCTCACAATATAAATACACATTAAAAAAAAAAAAAAAAAGAATGCAAGAAGCAGTCTTTTTGATGCTTCCCCAAAGTATGCAGGCTCTTGGTGCAGGTGAACATATTTCTGTTTGTATCCCCCATCATAGAAGACTCAGAAATAGAAACTGCTATATTTATATTATTCTACATATTTGTGTTAATAGTGTGAGTAAAATACCTAAGCATCATCATCGATGACTAAATTGAGGAGTTTCATGTCACTGAACTGTTTTGTGTTTGGTGGCTTTTTTATTTAGTTTTGAGAGAGACAAGGACGGGCAGTGCAAGAGAGGTAGAGAGAGAATCCCAAAGACTCCACAGTGTCAGCATAGAGCCAGAGGTGTGGCTTGATCTCAGGAACCTTGAGATCATGACCTGAGCTGAAATCAAGAGTTGGACACCTAAATGACTAAGCCACCCAGCAACACTCATTAAAACTGGCTTTTAGGGGTGCCTGGGTGGCTTAATCAGTTGAGCGTCTGACTTTGGCTCAGGACATAATCTTGTAATTTGTGGGTTCAAGCCCTGCATCGGGCTCTGTGCTGACAGCTCAGAGCCTGGAGCCTGCTTCAGATTCTGTGTCTCCCTCTCTCTCTGCTCCTTCTCTGCTCCCACTCTCTCTCAAAAATAAAAATTTGAAAAAGAAAAAACCTGATTTTTAGTCTCCCTGATAATTTTCTATTATATCACTTTTAATGTTATATAAATACTTTCAAATTGTATGGATGTGTGCATGCAGTGTATAAAGGTAGATTAAAAAAATTTTTTTAATGTTTTACTTATTTCTGAGAGAGAGAGAGTAAAACAGCATGAGAAAGGGAAGGTCAGAGAGAGGGAGATACAAAATCTGAAACAGGCTCCAGGCTCTGAGCTAGCTGACAGCACATATGCTTAACTGACTGAGCCACCCAGGTGCCCCATGGGAGATCACTTTTGTGTGCATACCTTCTTCTGTCATTCTTATCAGGTTTGACACCTACCATATACATTGATTTAGGGTCCCTTATGTATATTGATCTGTGTGTCATTTTAGATCATCTCTAGGTCAGTTAACCTGAGTCGTTACTGTGTACCAGATATTGACAAAAGATTCAGTAAAAATAGAAAAATAAAGTCTTTCTTCTCTTAGATTGTTTTTTCCCATGAATTTATGAGAGATTATTAGATGCTCACTACTAACCAGGAAAGGCTTGGAAAACCTTGTTGTCTTTCTTGCTATTGTAGTAGAAACTGTAATTGCTATAAAACTCACTCAGTTCCAAGTCCTCCAAGAGATCTTGGAGTTCTTCCTCTGTGTTCCTGAAATACGAATCCCTTGGCCCATAGACTACGGCCTTGTTAGGAATGTAGACACCTACCTTTCCCAGAACTCCTGAACAGAATCTGCATTTTAACAAGATCTCCAATGCACTGTTGTGAATTCTTATTCATGGAAGAATATGCAAGTATATTTGTAACTCACCAACACTTTCCATTAAGAAATAGACACCACATGGTTCAGTTGGCTAAGCATCGGACTTCAGCTCAGGTTATGTTCTCTTGGTTTGTGAGTTTGAACCCCGCATTGGGCTCTGTGCTGACAGCTAAGAACCTAAAGCCTACTTTGGATTTTGTATCTCCCTTGCTCTCTCTGCTCCTCCCTGCTCATGCTCTGCCTCTCTTTCAAAAATAAATAGTCACAAAATTTCTTTTTATATTGAAACCTCATGTACTGCATGATGTAAATACAGGATTCAAAAATGTGTCTCTGTTGATCCATTCATCTTATAAATTCTCTTGAATAAACACAATATTTATTTTGTTCATAACTCAAAGTTAAAGAATATCTAAGAGCATAATACTGTGTTACAAATTGTCTTAGTGCAGAAAGCAAGAAACCCCTCTACGTCAAAACTAGTTCTCCTAATATAACTGTACAAACAGGAGTTTAGTCCTTGGTGAATCCTAAAAAAGTATACCAGGTGGAGATGTGAGACAAAGGAAAATTGATTTATAGGAAATAAGAAGATCACAGGGTATAATTCCAAAGCAGAGACTCACAGTGGTAGGGAGATCTTTTCCTTTTTTTTTTTTTTTTTGGTTTGTTTTTAATTTTTCTAAAAATTTATTTGATACACAGAGAGGGCAATGGGGGGGGGGTGGCAGAGAGAGGAAGATAGAGAACCTCAGAGAGTTCTGCACTATCAGCACAGAGCCTGATGCAGGGCTAGAACTCATAAACTGTGAGATCATGATCTGAGCTGAAACCAAGAGTCAGACAACTGAGCCAGTGAGGCACCTCAGAATGGTTTCCTTGTATTTAGGGTTAGGGTAGATATTTAGAAAGGAGAGGCTGTGGATAAGGTGGCCAATGAGACTTCAGATTACAGTTCTATACATTCTCTGTATGTTACGCAGTAAATGACATTTGTGCTCCTCCTTGTGTGGAGATTTTAGTATTATAATGCAGTAAAAGGGTGGCTCAGTCCCTTCAGCTTCTGGCTCATGATTTAGGCTCAAGTTACAATCTCACCATCTTGAAATCAAGCTCCAACTCAAGGTCTCTGCTGAGCCTGGAGCCTGGTCAGAATTCTTGTCTCTGCCCCACCCATATCTGTGCTCTCTCTTTGAGGAAAGAAACATTTAAAAATGTATATAATGAGATAATGGTAACTACCCTGACTCCATGCTTTTTTCTGATACTCATCTCCATAGATGGGAGTCAGGGGATAAGCTCAAACTGAGCCTTTTAAGATCTTCTTCAGGGCAGTCATTACCTTCTTTTGGTTACTTTCTGTTTCTACCACAGGACACTGTGACCGTGGGGTGTTTTGCTTGAAGTAAAAGGGAGGTGTAAATAAGAGGCTACTAAAATGAGGGACTAAGGTCAGTGAGCACATACAGGTAAGCTGTGAAGATCAGGTGGTGGGGCTCAGATGGTGACATTTAACTTTCTCTCATAGGTACCATAGGTACCATTATGACCTCATGTGTCCCCTTGGTAACTGTGGTATTTGTTGCAGGGACTGCTGACCTTCAGGGATGTGGCCATAGAATTCTCTCAGGAGGAGTGGGGACACCTGAGCCATAGTCAGCGGGATCTGTACAGGGATGTGATGTTAGAGAACTATGGACACCTCCTCTTCTTGGGTGAGGACAACTTCTAGATTTCCCAAACCACACTCAGGGGTTTTGTTACTTTCTTTGAAGGCTGTCTCTTAGAATCTTTCTCTTTGCATGACTGAGATTCAAATCCCTCCAGTAAGGGAAAGAAGTAGGGGTTTGTAGATGTAGAGAAAAATCTTCCTGATGTTTCCTTTCAGGTGAGTTTTCCCTTCCTTAGGGTATCATCATCATTTCTTAGATTAATGGCAATTCTAAACATTGGGTGGCATTAAATGGTATTTCCATCTTCAATACAAATTTCTACCCATTATGGTATTGGTAATACTTGGAAGTGGAGATCATGATGTGAACCTTGGAAATCTCTCCTGTTTTCCAAAGGGACTGGTGGGCAGGAGTATTTAGGAATGATGTTCCAGAATTCTAGAATGTCCTCTCTTCTCTACTGAGGCCAATACTGGGTTGAAAGGTAGAATCTCCAGCAATACTTCTATCCCGTTGTTCTAACAAACAGGTCTTGTTGTGTCAAAGCCAGCCCTGGTCATTTTTTTGGAAGAAAAGAGGGAGCTATGGGATGTGAAGAGAAAGGACACAGTAGCCTCATGCCCAGGTAGGTGGGAATGAAGGAAGCAGATGACAGAGGTGAGGTTCCAATGTGAAGGAGGAAGAGACAGGCCTTAAAATGTGGTTTGAGCAGCCCTTCTTAAATGGAAATTAGTTTGAGAAACCTAGTTTCATGTGTCTCCCTCTCACACAAGGGCATGTGCTTTCCAACACACCCCACTCTCAGCTTCTCTAAGGATTCTCCTTCAGTGTCACCAAAGGTCCTTCACATCCACAGTGAGGGCCGCCCTATCTCATTCGTTCTCCATTCCTTTGAGGGTTTGGGGAAATCTTTGTAGTTATGAGGAAGTCTGTTAATTCATGTCTTAGTTCGACTCAGGTCATTTTCTCACCATTCGTGGGTCTGAGCTCCGCATCAGGCTCTATGCTGACAGCTAGCTCAGAGCCTGGAGCATGTTTCAGATTCTGTACCTCCCTCTCTCTGACCCTTCACTGCTCACGCTGTCTCTCACTCTCTCAGAAATAAATAAAACATTCATTTCCTGAGTTCAAGCCCCACCTCAGGCTCTGTGCCGACAGCTCGGAGGCTGGAGCCTGCTTCAGATTCTATGTCTCCCTCTCTCTGCCTCTCCCCCACTCATGCTCTGTCTCTGTCTCTCGTTCTCTCTCAAAAAATAAACATTAAAAAACGAAATAAATAAAACATTAAAAATTTTTAAAAAAAGAAAGTAGAATGATTTTACTTTCATTCCTTACCTTTCAACAGTATCTTCAAATGCTAACGAGAGCCTTCTTCCAAAGACGTTCATGGAAACTTCTTTTCAAACTGTGTCAGTGGATATATATCAACGTTCTGCCCTTGAGAATAGACACTTACTGATAGATTGCGACAAGGTTGCGAAGACTGATTGGCATCAAAGACATCTGGGGATTCCTTTTCCAGAGAAGCATTATGAAGATAATAATAATGAAGAGGTTTTTATTCAAAGCACCAACCTTATTGCACATAAGAGTATACATTTGGGAGAGAAACTCTGTAAATATAATGAATATGGACAAATTCCTAACACGTCCTCCAATGTTAGTGACCATCAGAGGATTCATGTTGGAAAAAACACATGTACATGCAATGAACCTGAGAACATGCTTAGTCAGTCATCAAGACTGCATATAAATAAGACAATCCATACTGGACAGAAAGGTTACATTTGCCAGGAGGGTGGCAGAGCCTTCAGCTGGCACTCAGCACGAATTCAACATCAGCGAGCGCACACGGGAGACAACCCTTACAAATGTGAAGAATGTGGTAAACCTTACAAAAGTGAAGAAAGTGGTAAAACTTTGATTGATGGCTCATCAGTAAATGGACATAATCCAATCCTTACTGGAGAGAAACCTGACATTCATAAAAAACGTGGAATGGCCTTTACTCAACACTCACCTCTTACGGAACATCACAGAACCCATGCTGGAGGGAAACCTTACCAATGTAAAGAATGTGGCAAGTCCTTTAACCGGCCTTCTGTCCTTAATAAACATCACAGAATCCATACTGGAGAGAGACTTTACCAATGTAAAGAATGTGGCAAGGCCTTTAATTGGCGTTCTGTCCTTAATCAACATCACAGAATCCATACTGGAGAGAAACCTTACCAATGTAAAGAATGTGGCAAGGCCTTTAATCAATCCTCAACCCTTAATGAGCATCACAAAATCCACACTGGAGAGAAACCTTACCAATGTAAAGAATGTGGCAAATCCTTTACCCGCATTTCAAACCTTTATAACCATTACAGAATTCATACTGGAGAGAAACCTTACCAATGTAAAGAATGTGGAAAGGCCTTTAACTCCAGGTCAGACCTGTACAGACATCACAGAATCCATACTGGAGAGAAACCTCACCAATGTACTGAATGTGGCAAGGCCTTTGTCCGACACTCACACCTTATTAGACATCACAAAATTCATACTAGATTGAAACTTTACAAATGTAAAGAATATGGCCATATTAATAACTGACCCTTACACCTTAGTCAACAGCACTGAATTCATACTTGACAGAAACCTTGATAGAAACCAATGTAAAGAATGTAGTTAGGTCTTTCATCAGTCTTTAATCTAAATTTACTCACGATCTCAGAATTCATACTGGACCAAATCTTTCAAATTTAAGGAATGTGAGAAACGTTTTGTGGACTACTCACTCCTTACATCACATAGGGAAGTGTATCCTGGCGAATAACCACTGAATACTAAAGAGTGTGGCAAAGCTTTGAAGCAATGCTAAATGGTGACTCCTGATCAGAGACTGAATACTGGGGAGGATTTTGCAAATATAAAGACTTTGGGAAGTCTGTTCATCACAGGTGAAGCTTCATTCTACATGACAGAATTCATAGTGAAGCAAAAACTTAAAGTGTAAAGAAAGTAGTAAACGCTTTATGACTCCTCAAACTCACTCGGCATCACAGACTATATGGTGAGGAGAAACATTACAATGATAAAGTATGTGTCCATCCTATAGCTGGACCTCACGACTTGATCCATATCATAGCTAACTTACAGGATAGAAAGTAACATGTACAGAAGAAAAAAAAAAAGCAGTGCTTATGAGTGCAATTTGACCCTTAATCAATATCCAAAAGTTCACATGAGATTTATATTATACAGACATAATGAATGAGGAAAGGCCTTCAATTAAATGTAGGCTTTAGCAAACCCCAGACAGTGCATGAAAGAAGGTCACTTGAAGGATATAAATATTTGGAAAAATATTGAACTGAACATCAGATGTCAATAAGTGTTACAGAATCCACAGTAGAAAGGAGTACATCAGACTGTATTCAGACATTCATCAACATACTGATAATAAGGACTAATACAATGTTAAACACAATAGATATGCTATTATGCCTCAAGAGTTTAATTGGATCAATCTTTTAAATGTTTTTTTGTTTTGTTTTTTGTTTTTTGTTTTTTTTTTTTTTGAGTGAGAGCAGGAGCTGGGAATGGGGAGAGAGTGGGAGACAGAGACCAAAATAGTCTCTGGGATCTGAAGTGTCAGCATGGGGTCCGACAGAGGGCTTGAACTCACGAACTACAAGTTTACTACCTTAACCAAAGGTTCATGCTTAACCAACTGAACTACCCAGGTGACCCTCAATAGATCAATTATTGCATAGGTATCATTAATTTCAGTCAGTGCTTTGCTTTTTGCCACATCAACCTTCTCTGACATTTGTGACTAGAATACATTAATGTATTTCTCTTCTCAAAATACTTCCAAATTGCATTTATTCTGAGTGGCTTTGGAAAATTATGTGGCTGATTATTGGTGCATCGAAGATATGACATACCTTTATTAGGTATGACTCATGCCTCGTTCTCCATGGAAGATGAAGGACAACATAATACACCATATACAGAGAAAATCTAAATGGAGATGGTGGTGGTGAAATGTTGATACAAGTTCTCATGAAATGGTACACCAAACATCATTCTTTCCCTGTATTAAAGCTAAAAATCTTGTTGAATATTACAAATAAAATAATTTCCCCCAATGTCTTTAAGGAAAAAAGAAGTGGAAATTCAGTGAAACAGTGGTATATCTTCACTACAGCAAGAGTTAGAGAATATCAGTTGATGGGGTTGAAATGATGACATTCTCAGAGAGGTTCGAAAGGGCATAACTAACTCTTCCCCAAAATAGCATACAATTATAAATACACACTTTTCACCTATGACCTCAAGCCCGGAAGTCTGTATTCCCACATCATTTTATCAACAAATACTTTCTGAAGGCTTGTATTCTATTCAACCATGCTAATAGGACGGACTGGACATGCATAACTTCGTCTATCTGTGATCTTAATACATTTAATTAATAAAACAATTGTTTTTAATGTGTTTCCATGGATTCTACAGTGTGAAGTGTTATCCCATTACCAATATTAACCTATCTCATGTGATTAAATACTGTAGGAAAGGGATGGAAAGTAAGAAAATATGAAATTCCTTTTCCAGCGTAAGGTGGGAACCTGAAGTGGCTCCCTCTTCGGAACTGCAGAGTCACAGTCAGCCCTTGGTCACATCATATGATGAATAAAAGTCATAGAGAAAGGAATTGGCAAGCATGGTGGGATTCTGAGGATGAGGGAAGTGCCATTTCATCTTCATGATTCAACTGAGTTCCTGTGTGTTACTGAGAACCAGATGCTGTAAGATGACAATGATTCCTGTGATGCCTAGGTCTTGATCAGTGGCACTTATGGAGGAGGGCATACTGGATGATGTAATCATTGTGGCACTGCTGTACAATGTCACACATTACAGTCCATATTGGAGATGACTCTTAAAGGGCCTGGACACGTGGGATACGTTCAGAGACAGGGACCCGATGAGATTTATTAGTAACACTTATTATTTGACCTGTTTCATTCTCTGAAGCAGGGGCTATAGACAATCTACAAAGCCACATAGGAAGCAGGGAGTTTCTAAAGGGGAGTCCCGGATTTCCTGAGCATTGACATCCAGGGGAAGCAGTGGTACAGTGCTGAATCATTCTCCATATGATATCAGGAGTTGCTGGCAACAAAAAGGCCACTTTTCTACCATGGTTAAACTTGAAATTCTAGGAACATTGGGTTCCTTGTTTTCCCAGCATCATTGATGTTGAAATCCCAAAGAAGCGACAATTAGTAAAGCCATAAGCTAGAGAGCATAGGTCAGTGTGTTAGATGTATGTCCTCATGACAGTATTTGGAACAGGTATAGTCTGAGAAAGTCTATATTTGGGAAGTAACATAGACACATCATTAAGGCAGTGTTTATTGAGCTTTTACTCTGCACACAGCTTTTACTCACAAGGTGCTGTGCTGGGTACCTCAGGAATGATATATGAGTTAGTCTTCTCATACCTTAGGACTTGAAAATGGGTGTCCAGTATTTCCCCCAGAATATACATGTTATGTCCTGCCTTTCTGTTTCTTTTTCTCCCATAACATTGATTGTATAAAGGAGAAGCCAAAGATGGTTTTGAAGAATATACAAAAGCATGATCTGGAACCTCAGGAAGTTCTCATTGCTGACTAATAAGCACATTGGCATGTGACAAACAGGAGAAATTAAAATCTAATAGAATAAGAATGAATTCTCCAGAAACACAAGAAAACTGCATAGGAAAAGTATCTATGTCTTTGAGGAGGAGAGATGGGTGAGGAGAATGAAGTGAGGAGAGATGAGAAGGAAGGAAGAAGGGGATGAGGGAAGAACAGAAGTCTGGGACCTCCAAGGGAAAGCATGTAATTCACAGGAAGATGATAAGCAAATATTTTCTGGGCCGCTCTAAAACAGTAGGACAGAGAAAACTTTGTTCACATGGTCCTTCCTGGGCTCCTCCCTGTTGACCATATCTAGCTTGTATCACAATGTCATCCGTGTGGTGAGTGCACTCACCCTGGGCAGTTTTTCTATGTATATTATTTTTTAAAGAAAGAGTTGAAAAGTAAATATTTTTCCTGAATCTTCTTAATTTTGTTTGCTTATAAATGCTAAATGATCTCCCTGCCAAAGTGGCCCATCAGAGAAGAGCCTGGATGTGACTCACAAACTGGAGGAGACTGTGTTCAGTTGTGGTTCAGGTCATGACCTTGTGTTTCATGAGTTCGAGCCCCGTATTGGGCTCCCATGCTTATGTTGTGGAACCTACTTGAGATTCTTCCTCTGTCTCTGCTCCTCTCCCACTCATGCTTTCTCTCTTTTGCAAAATAAACTTTAAGAAAAATGTTAAATCAAGATAAGAGGCTACCGTTACAAGCTAAATCTTAAAGACTACTACATTGGCTAGAGGGGGATGGGAGTGTTTCAATATAACAACAACAACAAAAAAGTCCCTCTGTCTCCTGGGTTGCTCAGGTGGTTAAGTGTCCAACTTCAGCTCAGGTGATGGTCCTGAGTTGCAGCCTTGCCTCAGGCTCTGTGTTGACAACTCAGAGCCTGGAGTCTGCTTCAGAATCTGTGTCTCCCTCTCTCTCTGTTCATCCCCTGCTCACAGTGTCTCTCTGTCTGTGAAAAATAAAATAAATAATAATAAAAGGACTCCAGATTTATTGTGCTGCTGTAAATAGAAGGGTGTCCTTTTGTGAGGCTGATATATATACTAAGAATAAGTCAGATGGGGAAACTATCAAACGGGTGCAGTAGAGACATGGTATGTGCTCTTGAAGAAAATGGAGCTGGCCTTGGATTGCATTCTGGGGTGCACTGATCTCTGAGGCGCACTAGGAGAGAACATTCTCCATTCCAGAGCACTTTGGAAAGAGGGTTTATTGCCCCCCCAAGGACTAAAGACCGTGCAGGTGCCAGCCAAAGGCGTTTCAGCAACACGGTGGGGTGCTCCTCTCCAGAGGAGGGGTGCAGATCCAGATCCAGGCCTCACCGGATCCTTTAAGAGATCAACGTTTGAATCCCAGCCGAGTGCTAAGGAGAAACTATAGGAGAATTGTGGCTCAGGTCTAGGTGACTGCCGTCTCTATTCTTTGAGCACCGTCTATACTATCTGGGTTGAAAGCCCAGGTCCCTAGAGGAGAGCGAGGAGTGACACCATTTACCCCCTAACATCAACACAATGGGACTTCAGAGAGCAGCACATCAGGCCCTTGGTATTTGCAGGACACGCTTACACCAAACCCTGCCCCTCTGTGCCTGGCCACTGACTACTTACTGGAAAGACTAACTGCCCCAACATAGCCAGCCTCTCATCCCAACTAGCACAGCCACCAGACCCATGCAGCAACAGACTTTTTTTTCCCCTCCTTTTTTCCCTCTTTCTTTCCTCCCTCTTCTGTTTTTTTCTTTTGGAATCTGGTTCAGAATTTCTTATTTGTTATTTTTCCATACATATGTATGTATTTGATCAGGCTTTTAAAAATTCTATTCTTTTTCTTTTTTTTTATTTTATTTATTTTATTTTATTTTATTTTTTATTTCTAGGAGAGAGAGACACACACACAGCGAGCAAGGGAGGATCAGAGAGAGAGGGAATCACAGACTGAAACAGGCTCCAGGCTCTGAGCTGGCTGTCAGCACAGAGCCCGACGCGGGGCTCGAACCCATGAACCGCGAGATCATGACCTAAGCGAAAGTCGGATGCTTAACTGACTAAGCCACCCAGGCTCCCCAATTCAATTCTTTTTCTAACATTTGCCTTTTCTTCTGTCTTTCTTCTCCTTTTTGTTTTCTTTTCTAGCTTTCTGTTTCCTTGGAATCAGCCTTATAGATTTTTGACTCTCGGTTTGATTCCTGCCCCCTTTTTTTGCTTTTTATATGAATTGTGACTTTCAACACTCTGCCTTTTGCTTCTCAGGGGTTCTTCAACAAACCAATCAAGGACACCCAGTTGAGGTCCAAACTCTCCACGACTACACCAAAGAGGAGATGTGCAGAGAACGGACCAGTGGGATAGAGCAGCCAAAATGCAACAACAGACTGCACCAACCATACACCAGAAGCATGTTCTGGAGTGCCAGGCACTGGAGAGTCTAGGACCTCTTATTAATATAGCAGTACTCTCAGGCCCAGGCACATAAGAAGCTGTTAGAACATGCAAAAGACAGAAACGTAGCCAAAGTGATAATCCAGAGGAATTCTCCCCAAAACAAAGGTCAAGAAGAAATCATAGCCAGAGAATAGCTCAAGGCAGATATCAATGCTCTATCTGAAGAAGAATTCACGACAACAATAACAAACCTAAGAGCTGGGCTTGAGAACCATCTAGAAGACACCAGAGAAACCCTTGCTGCAGAGACCAAAGACCTAAGAACTAGTCAGGATGCATTGAAAAAAGTATAACTGGGATGAAGAGTAAACTAGATACAATGACAGCAAGGATGGAAGCAGCAGAGGAGAGAAAAGGTGAAATAGG